CAACTGGTGAATCAGGCGAACCTGATAAAACGCCCCCCTGGTCACGGCCGACAACTGGTCTTCCAGCGTCAGCCGCGAATCCAGGAGGACACCCAAGTTGCGTACCCTCTCCGAGGGGGCCAAAGTTTCGCCCCCTATAGTCAGCGATGGAATCAGCTGACTATGCCGGGGCGCCGGTAACCACAGCCACTCGGTCTTGCAGAGTATATTTTTTCCACCCATGTCATAAACAGAGCATAAAACTATTTTCCTATGGAGCCAAGAACATAAATTCTATGAGATAGTTCTCCTGCATGCCAAAAATTACACTTGAATAATATTTTCTCGGGGGGGGCGCAATGGCTCAGCAGTTAAATACTCTTAAGTTTGTCAACTGGAGAGCTGACAGCCCTGGTTCAAGACCCGAGCGCTGTGTGATGGGATGAGCTACTGTCCTTGCTCCAACTCCTGCCCACTTAGCAGTTTGAAAGCATGCAAATGCAAGTAGATAAATAGGTGCCACTTCACTGGGAAAGTAATAGCGCTCCGTGGCTTTGGTATATAGCCATTCTGGCCACATGACCACGGAAATCGTCTTTGGACAATGCTGGCTCTCTCGGCCAAGAAACGGAGATGAGCACCGTGCCCTAGAGTCGGACATGACTGGACAGGGAAACCTTTACCTAATATTTTCTCCACTAACAGTGGAAATTGCTACACAACTTCATGGACTTCAAATATACTGTGACCATCTCTTTTCTCAGCTGGAACTTAAGAAGACTCTTCTGGACAGAATGGTTCACTTGTTGAGCCGTGGCTACGTCCTCCCAGTGGTCAGCTATATCCGGAAATGCCTGGAGAAGTTGGACACGGATATATCTCTGATCAGATATTTTGTGACCGAGGTCAGTAAATATTTGGATAGTTAAGAGTTTTAAAATGATGTGCAGGTGGATTGATTTGCACTGATGTGGTGAAATGTAATCCAGATTCCCAGGAGGGAGGGGCTGCATTAAAGAGAAGAAGCAAGAGACAGCAAAGTTTAGATAGCTTGGTTGGGATAAAAGAGGTCAAGAGAGCTCCTCCCAAGAAGTTAATAATAACAATAAAGTTGGAAGGGACCTTGGGGGTCATCTAGTCCAACCCCCTGCTCAGGCAGGAAACCCTATATGCCATTTCGGACAAATGGCTGTCCAGTCTCTTCTTAAAAACTTCCAGTGTTGGAGCATTCACAACTTCTGGAGGCAGGTTGTTCCACTGGTTAATTGTTCTAACTGTCAGGAAGTTTCTCCTTAGTTCTAGGTTGCTTCTCTCCTTGCTTAGTTTCCACCCGTTGCTTCTTGTCCTGCCCTCAGGTGCCTTGGAAAATAGCTTGACTCCCTCTTTTTTGTGGCATCCCCTGAGATATTGGAACGCTGCTATCATGTTCTCAGAGTATATCTTCACTGATGTTAGTAGTTTGCTTTAATTTGGCAAAACTTCTGTCTGTAGGTGAGGAACAAAAAGAAACTGCTTAGAACAGGGGTGGCCAACCTTGGCAACTTTTAAGACTTGTGAACTTCAACTCCCAGAATTATTCAGCCACCCATGCTGACTGGGGAGTGTTGAAGTCCACAAGTCTTAAAAGTTGCCAGTGTTGGACACTGCTGGCTTAGAAGAACTTCAGGGTGTCTTTCTTGGTTTTTGGTATTGCAGAAGTACTACTGCAAGCTGGTGTGATATAACTGGTGCTCCCTGTGGGTCCGTTGACATTCTTAATTTTTTCCTCCCTCTTGGAGAGGGGGGTATTGCTTTTACAGTTTGTATATTGGGTTTTTATTTTTTGCAAGGTGCTCAGAGTCACTGAGAGCGAGTGGGTGGCCATATCAAAACGCTTAATTAATTAATTGAATTTGGCAAGATTGATGTTAGGCTCCAAATATCAAGAATGAAACTGTCAGAAAATCGAGAAAAATAATGTTATGACAGTTACAAATATTATTCTTCATTTCGCGATTCCTTTTTTAATTATCCTTTTTTTCTTTTGTGCAGCAATGTATTTTCTAAATGTTTTAAAATAAAATTATTGCCCCCAAAACAACAGTAACAACCACAATGAAGCCCACAGTCTTTTCCTGCTATCTGATTTCATAGGTACTGGATGTGATTGCTCCTCCCTACACCTCTGACTTCGTGCAGCTTTTTCTTCCAATTCTGGAAAATGACAGCATTGCAGGAACAATTAAGACAGAAGGTGAACATGACCCGGTGACAGAGTTCATAGGTAAATCTTCCCAGCACAGCATTTTTGTTTCATGTTTGCAACCTGTTTACATGCAGTGAACGCAGTCACATCTCAAAGAATTTACCTCGAGAACGTCTGAGCAGAATCCCTCTTCAGATGCTTTTCACCACTGAAAAGGTCAGATGTTTTTACGAGGTAGCAGCAATCTCATCTTTTCAGGGTGTTTGCTGGACTGCAGGAAAACCTGCACAGAACCCGTGTTTCCACAGTAAAAAAGTCCAAGATGGGGGCCATGATGCTGCAATTAAATTCTGCATGCAATGCACATTAAAAAGGGAAGGGCGTTCAATCATGCTTTCAAGGCTTCTATCCTGACTTTTGATTCTGGATACCTCTGAAGACATGTAAGCATCTTAAATTAAGGCTGAGCTGGTAGAAGGAGAGCTGTATTACTCTATGGTCTAAGACAGGATTGCTTAAAGTGTTGTCTAACCACCTCTGGGGGTCCCCCAAGACTGTCTCAGGGGTCCTGGAAATCAAAGTTACTTGCCAGCCTACAATATTAAAATCTCATCAAACATTTGTGAGAAACAGCAGCAACAATGAATGCGTCCATTTTAATTTTTAATACGATAAGTATCAATGAATATAACCCATATGAACAAAAAGATATTTTGGGGTCCTCCATAATTTTCAAAAGTGGGAGGAAAAAAAGTTTAAGAAACACTGGTCTAAGCTACAGAGGTGCAGATCAGTAAAATTCAACAGTTGGTACAATCAAGTGACATGTTAAAAGGTTAACTTTTGTGGCATAAGCAATCGTAAGAATGTGCTATGAAAATAGATTTATTTCATTAAATTTATTACAGCTGCCCACTCCAGCAGACACTGAGATATATTATACTGTACTGTATGTGACTATGGAGAACTGGAGAATATTTTACAAGAATGGATTAAAGTGTTAAAAGAATGCATACAGTCAGACCCTGCTTTCCATTTGAATCAAAAGATTTAGGCACATAAATTCTACTCCAAGTCAACCTGTCTTGTTTGTTTTCTTTAAAGCTCACTGCAAATCGAATTTCATCATGGTCAGCTGAATTAGGAGAGGAACTCCGCATCCAGAAGACACTGGTGACCAGGCCTCTTTCGTGCTGCATAAAGAAATTCAAATGGTTTGCTGATAGGTTTCAAGTTAAGTAGGAACTTACACTGGTCAGTTTTACTTGTGTAGAAAGCAATTACTGGCACAGGTTGTCACTACTTCAAACCTTGGTCCTCTTGAAGAACTGAAAAGATGGTTGCTTGCTCCAAATATATGACCTAGTGAAGTATGACAGCAGTGATGTTCTTAAGAAATTCATTGTGTAGTGTATGACTGGTTACTTCTAGTAGGTAGAGCTGACACCGTCTTACGAATTCTCTCCACTCTGGCTGTGTTCCAGTCAGTTTTGTAGACTGGAAAAGCAGTGCATTAGTCTCTCACACTTGCTCTCATTCTTGACAATCTTATAAACATCTGGTGAAAATATTTATCAGATATGCCCCATCTGAAAACACCTGTTCGCAAACTTTCTCCAATCAGGGCACCCTCACATATGTTGGGTCTCCCAATCCTATCCTTTGATGGACCTCAGTCTCGATAAACCTCCTTACAATGTCTTTTTAACATTGTAGCTTGTAAATCAACCACCATGGATGATTGTTGAGAAACAGACCTATGCTTAGCATCTGTTGCATTCCAGTTCTGAATTCTTTTTAAAAAAAGAAAATCATTTGTGCATCACAAATGTTTGTTTGTGAACCCTAGCAAAGAAACACAGGTAGTGTTGTTTTAGGAGAAAATAATTAAAATATTAACCATTATCGGTAAGTTTCATTACTTTGAGGGAAATATATATATATATATATATATATATGCTGTTACATTTCTCTAAATGCATAGCATATACAGTATAGTAACATGTAACTTTTCAGATATGTCTTCTCGCTACATATCAGATGAGTGAGAAGTGTGACAGCTTGTAATTTTTAATAAATTTCCTTTTGAGTAAAAACTGTTGCGCCTGTGGATTGTAGTGTTCACTGTTTCAATTTGCAAGACCAACAACACTGGTGGAAAATACTGAAAAGGTGATATACTGGTATAGTTTTTAATAAGCGGGTAGAAAAATAGACATCAGTTTTCTTCATATATTAGCTGGGTTTACCCAAAACATTGAACTCACTGGGTCTGTTGATCCTAACTAAATGGCTTATGAGCCAGAGTGTATGACATGTATTTTGCAAGTTCAGTAGTATAGCTAGAAACTGGAGACTGAGTTCTAGTCCTATCTTAGGCACAAAGCCAGCTGAGTGACCTTGGGCCAGTCATTCTCTCTCAGCCCTAGGAAGGAGGCAATGGCAAAACGCTTTTGAAAACACTGAAAACTTCAGAAACTTTTCTAGGTAATTAAGAGTCAAGACTGACTTGAAGGCACCACATAAATACATTAAAGAACCTGATCTGGGGTGAGAGGAGGGAGGGAGCACGTAGTTCTGGTTAACTGAAAAGGGGGGGGGGAGAACCCACAGGAAATCCTCGACTTATGACCAGTTGCGATCAGAATTTCCATTGCTGAGCAAGGCAGTTGTTAAGTGAGTCGTGCCCAATTTTACATTTTTTTTGCCATGGTTGTTAAGCGAATCACCGAAGGTTTTTAATGAATCACATGGTTATTAAGCGAATCTGACTTCCTACATTGACTTTGCTTATCAGAAGCCAGCTGGGAAGGTCACAAATAGCGACCACATGACCCAGGGACAGCGCAACCGTCTTAAATATGAGTCAGTTGCCAAATGTCCAAATTTTGATCACCTGACCATGAGGATGTCGGGGTCGTTAAGTGCAGTGGACCGGACATAAGTCACTTGTTTTGACGCAAATGAAACTTTGAATGGTTGCCTTTCTGCCTAGGGTTTAGTCTATGCATTTGCCACAGAGAGTAGGAAATTTGACATCCTTATTAGTTTCACATAATAAAATAATTTAAGAAATCTGCCCCCAAATATTACACATTTCAAAAAGAATTAAACATGATTGTTTTATTTATTTATTTATTTTATTTCTATAGCTGCCCATCTCAACAAGTGGACTCTGGGTAGCGTACATTATAAAACATTAAAATAATTTAAAAGTACAAAATATATATTGCACTAAGTAAAACTTGTTACTATGGATGTTAACACAGCCAGGAAATGGGGTCCTTAACACATTTGGTCTCCAAGCCTGGACACACAATTTTACAGTTGTGTGAAGGCCAGCAGTTGTGAAAGGCCAACAGGGTTGGGGTCATCCTGATATCTGAAGGAAGAATCTTCCGGAAGGCAGAGAAGGCGCATCTCCTGCTTTCTGCCAGCTGACATTCCTTGGCTAACGAGACCGACCTGCCTGCCTGAATTGGATGGGTAGAAATGATTGGGAGAAGATGGTCCCTAAGGTAACCCAGCCCCAAACCATGTAGGGCTTCTAAGGTGATCACCAGTACCTTGAGTTGCACTTGGAAACACTGCTGGTAACCAATGCTACTCACAAAGCATTGGTGTTGTATATGTTGACTATCCGATACCGTTTCTTCCCAGTGCAGCTGCATTTTCTACCAATTGAAGCTTCAGTAGGCACTTCAAGGTCAGCTCCATGTAAAGCTCAGTGCAGAAGAGGGCATGAGTGACTGTGAGCAAAGCCACCCAATCCAGGAACAGGCACAGCAGGCACATCACCCTAAGGCAGGGGTGTCAAACTGCCGGCTCGCAGGCTGGACGTGTCATCCAGAAGCTGCGGCCACCCCATTGCCAGCAATGGCAAAACCATGCCGAGACGTTGCACGACGTCACGTGACGTCGCGAGTTTGACATGTCTGCCCTAAGTTGTGTAAAGGCCCTCCTGGCCATGGCTGCCACCTGCTTTTCTAGAGGGAGCCATAAGACCAAGTGCTACCCAAATACCCAAAGCCACTCTGTCTTGTTTAGCCCATTGCACCTCATCCAGACCCTTACAGCTTCCAAGCATTGAGACAGGAAATCTATGGCATCGTTCAGGCAGCCCAGAGTGGAGATTGAAAGCTGAGTATATTCATATTGATATTTTACCGCAAACCATTGGATTACCTCACCTTGCGGCCTCGTGTGTGTGAACTAGGAGAGAAAAGAGAACTGAGCCCTGGGACATCCCACGCAGTAGGGGCTGTGGGCTAGATCTTCCCCCTCCCCCAACTTCAACTGGAACTGACCCCAGAGGAAGGAGAAGAACCAAGCCAAGACAGTGCCACTCATCCTCAACTTTCG